TTGAATCCATTTGGCCAGATTTTAAACCTTAGGAACTAGTTTAAATTTAATCCTAATATAAATCCTAATATTAAAATGAAAGAAGACACTGTTATGTAGAAAATGTCATAATAAAATGTCAGATAAAAATGTTCTCGGTAAACAAAGATGCATTTGAATACTAGAAATTTTTCTCCAAATTTCTTCTAAATAAATTTTTCATAAATAATAATATCTGTAACATCAAATTGGAATGGGTTATGTAGGTATAGTATAGCTTTTGTGTACTGTAATGAAGTCACACTGACTATTTCATGTTATTATTTCAAGTAACTTGTTTTTATTTATGTGAACAGATTATGTTGTTGGAATGAAGATCAAATTAAGGTCATTTGTTCAGCTGTCAGACTTGGATATACAGGATAAGATGAAGGAGGTGAGATTTCCCTGTGTTTGATTTTCTTTTTTATCAGCTTTCTAAAATTTACTTTTAAATAGTCTTTAGAATTTTTTTGTCTAGTGGTAACATTAACATTTTCTCTATTATGTGCGTGGGTGACGTTTTTTGTTGTTGTTGTCCCAATCTAGTTTTTCAGACGATATGGATTATTGCCACAGTTTTCATTCCTCAAGGTTAAGCCTGTTCAGCCATGACACCAGAGGAGAAGACATGAGATTAAGAGAAAGTGACTGGATCTGTACTGTTATAGAAAATTTATATTTTTAATTACTTTCCTTAAACAGAATCAAAAATAAATAAATAAATTCTTTTTTGGGGTATAACTGGGAAAGAGTATTGTACATCTTTATCCTTTGTACCTTAACAGTAGAAGAGGTCATGATTTAGATGTGTCACCACTTTACCATTGTCTATTAAATTGGTTGGGAATTTGGTTATAAGCTTCACTGTTCTCTATGGTCTGAGAGAGTACAAGCAGAGCTCTATCTTATGTAACCTGAGCGAAAGGGAAATATACAAATAGATCCAGGCTACTTATGAAAGAACCTGCAATCCATCCACACCAAAATATTTCCCAAAGATGGGTCTGTTTTACTTACTTTTACCTTAAATTTTATTCTGATCTATGGGAAACCTCTTTTAAAATTATCAGTAAGCACTGTTAAACAACAGCAAAAGACTGAAAGATGAGCCATCTGAAATGTAGTCGTTCCCTGGACTACAAGATTCAAGATTCTTTATTTGTCACATGCATAGTTATACGAGTACAACACGCAGTGAATGTGCCCTGAAACACTCCTAGACTGTGCAAAAAGAGAACATTATATACAGTAAGTGAATATGTACAATAAATGTACAATAAAGGATAAAGTTTAAAAAACTTTGCACACACATAAAGTAATACACTGTGCCTTTCTAAACTTTTCACTCATGGATTGTGCACTGATCATCCTCGTGCTCAAAGGTCAGTTGTCTTTCATTTCTACCTGGCCAAACTCATCAGCACTACTTTGTGAGCACCTCACTGAATTGGACAGATGGACAGAGATACGCTGACCTGGTGACCATAGAACAAAGGTGACCTTGATGCTGTCAAAAGCATTGCAAAAAATACAAATTCTTATATGAGTACTGCTCAGAGTTTCTGCAGGGAGAATAATGGTCATCTAGCCAGGTACACAATCCACTGTTGAAGATTTAGAGGCACAACAAACAGACTACTCGGGGCTTTTAGTTTTCTGTTTATGAACTCCGAGCTATGAAATGTTGACACAGTTACTTTTAACCACCGACTACAATTAACCACTGTGGGTAATTTGTCATACAGCATTGATCTTTTGAATAAAAACTGACTCATTTTGCAATAGGAAGGGATATTGATTCATCTATTTTGGAGAGTGTCCTGTATATTTTGAACAGTAATTTGGGGGGTATGAAATTAAAGAATTGCTCCACACTTGCTGGGGTTTGCAATTTGACTGTGATTAGGCTTACATTTCTTTTTTACTAAAGATTTTATTTGTTGATATTCTAAAAATCAAATCTTGTTAATCCCATACTACATAACTAATCTGTCAAACAGAATAAAGCCTGTTCCATCAAATACATGTTCCAAGTATTTAATTCTTTTACAACTCCAATCTGGAAAGGTAATCTTATTATTGTTCTGTAGTATGTCAGGTGGGTGTACGTTTGCATGGGATTAAAGAAGACTTTTAGAAACGCCCACCGTGCTAAAAGGAGTTGATGTTGATGCATACATGTTGTCTGATATTTAAGCTAATGAATGGTAGGTCCGAAATCTCTATATTATTGCATATAGTAGCGTGTAGCCATGTGTGATGGACCGAGCAGTGAAGGAAACTTAGGCACAGGTTAAAGTCCAAAAAAATGATTTTTTATTTAACCCAAAAAACATAATTGGTTAAATCATGCAAAAAGAATCAAAATCTTGGGCCCATAAAAAAGGTCAAAATAACAAAACTCTACTCAAAGTTGACAACAGTACTGATAACTCAAACAAACTGACCTAACTTAACGAGACAAAGGGGAAACTTAAATAGTGGCTGATCAGCCCACAAAAACAGGAGAAGGGGTAAAACACACAAAACCTAACTAAACCTAACATAATGAACTCCAATTCCCCCCCATGGTCCCGAGTTATGGCATGAACCAATTTGTAGTCTTCCTTTAAAGCTTGCTCCGCCCCTTTTCCACCTCTTGGCTCCTTAATCAAGGGACTGGAACAGCTGCACCTAAGGTAACTCAGAAAACAAAAGATTAATCATACATAACAGCGTAAACTAAAATGTGCGCACTTATTTTAGAATGCAGTGTTATGTGGATATGTGAATTAACTCTAAACCAAAACCAGTTATTTATTGTCCTGTAAATTAATTCCTATATTTAAAGAAAGAAATGTGAATGCAATGTTACTTATAAGCCTCTACACTAACATGGTGGGTATTACCACTGTGTGGCTGTAAGTGCAGCCATCACACCATGTCTGTTTCTCCCTGGGTCCCAGTGTAAAGTCCATGTGTCTCACTCTGTGTGTTTCCTGTTTGATTTTGACCGTCTCTCATCCCGTGTACAATGTGCTGAGTTTTGCTTCTTCTCGTGTCATAAAGTCTATTCATCACTGGTCAGATGTTTTGCTTCATTAATACTCAAAGTTTAGAGTCCATTACGGAGAAACATGTTGGATTTTGAAAGGTTATAAACAAAAATATTAATTTCCTTGAATCTTTTTTTAGTTTAAATATTATATGTAAAAATAGTCGTAAGACTAAAGACAGATATACATATATTTGTAAGAATAATCCTGTTTAAAGGGGACATGAAAAGCTATACACATAAAAGCTAATTTACACCACTCATCCCTGCTCTCAAAAACTGACATAGATGTAACTCTGTCTGTAAAGCTGAATTTAGAAATAAGTGCGTAAAGTTAAAGTTTTAAACGTGAGGTCATGTGGTTGGTCGGTTGCGGCTAATAGACTTAACATTAGTTTATGTTAATAATGACACCAATGTGATCAATCAACCAATCAACTGTCCCGCCCTAAAGCCCACTTCTATGTTGAAGAGGGAAACAAAGCAAAGGTTCTTCCAAGGACCATGGGTGGGCAAATAACCTAAAGTTTCCAGTGTATTTGTACTGGTTGGCCAGTGCCACTTCCTATCATGAAGTGTTAGGAGTGTTTAATGTCCCACCACCATAGTCTATGATGTTGTACAGCTGGTGTGGCAGAATTATAGACATGTACAAGAGTTTAGTCTATCTTTTTGCCACAGATGAGCTGGAGAAGCCTGTTAGTTATCCTAAACAGATGCCTTGTAAGGTGCCATGTCACACAAAGACCAAATAACCTGCTTCATTCTTGTAGGACTGAGAACTGTTTGTGACTACATATTTTACCCAGAAGGAACCTGTTACTGCATAAAGAAATAACACGGCCCTATGTCATGTGACCTAAAAAAAAGGATAGACACAGGGACAATAGAGGCTGACCTTGAACAAACTGTCATTGTATGAAAGCAGTGAAGCAAAAATAAGCAGATTCTATCTAGAAGACTGCCAATGAATCTGGATGTTCATGAACAACCAGATTCCTTTGCAAACAGGTTTAAGAGGTTTATTAGAAACTCAACCGGTGCAGAGGAAGGGTGCGGCAAACTCCAGGCTGAATAGAGAGAAGCACATCCAAGAGTTGGCAGGCAAGTGACAGTGGCAAGCAAAGTCCTCCAGACTCAGAGCAATTTCTGACAGTATAGATATGCCTGATGTTTCCCACAACTATAGCTGAGCAATCAGGCAAGGTATGGAGGGATCGACTAATCTTTAAATCGACAAAAGGATGATGAATGACACTATTTGACAATTACTGTGAAGTGGAGTGGAGCAAAAATGCAGGACGTTAGATTTTATCATACTAAAAACAAAAGTTCCCATGTGTTCACTTAGGCAGTGCCATTGCTCCTGTTAACAAGTTCTTCCTCTTAAAACTCATTTAACAGTAGAATACACTAAAAATTAAAGAATTTATTCCCACAAAATTAGACTGAAAGCACAAAACAAGATCTTTAGGAATTTGTGGCAAAAGAATGAGCAAAATAACTGCAAAATGACTCTGCTTATGCAATTTTTTGATGCTTTTCAGTGAAAATGTAGTGAAGCAATGTTAATCCATTTAAACATTCATGATAAAAGCTACTCAAAGCATTCATAAAAGTCAATCAGTGATACAGCAGGTAAAATAAGTATCAAACAGCCCACCAATTTTCAAATTAAATATATTTCTAAAGATACAATGGATATGAAAAAAATGTGTACACTTTGCTTTGGAAAGAAATTGTATTTCCTGTGACCAGTGCAGTAAAGAATAAGGCTACATGTTTTTAGATCTTACTTTCAGTTACTGGCATGGAGCGATTCAGCACAAAGAATTCTCTTTTACTTCCTTAAATCTTATCTATGCTGTTCACATGATCTTTAAACACTCACTGAGCAATGGTAAGACTTTAAACAAGTTTTTCGACAGGTTAGTGCTAAGCAGCATGCACACTTAGAAACATCTGAAGTACGGGGAGTTAAAATAGTGGTAAGAACAATCTATATCCACTTTATTTATCCACTCCAAAATATGGCTGAGTGAGCTAATAATGTAACTAATTACACTGTTGTTCATCTTTTCTTAGTTGTAACTCATGGATTATACGGCGATCATCTTTGTGCTGATAGGTTGGTGCCTCTTTTTGATTAATTCTGTTTGTACTTTTGTTTGTTCTGAACAATTACAGCTCCAGAAACCTATATACACAGGGATTTTTGTATAAACCCTAAATATGGAAGAAAAAAAACAAAACAAAAAACAGTTGTGAATGTTGTTCTCCTATAGAGTGTATTTTATTTAGGTTAAGATTTTGTCACTGAACAAAAGGTAAATGGGTAAGCATGAATACAAAAGAAAAGATGAAAGCTATAAATTCATGATAATATCTATACATTAAAAATACGAATCAAAAATAGCACTTTGCAAAGAGATTTTTGATTTATTTTTATTTGATTGTTTGTTTGTTTGTTTTTTGCTTAAAAGTTGGTGCCAAACAAAAATGTCACAAAGGAAAACAAAGTTCTGTGAAACCAGTAATGTTAAACTGAACACTACCAAAATAAAAGACAATGCTTTGTTTCAGGAGCGCTGGTTAATGGTACACTTAGTCAAACTCATCAGTACTACTATGTGAGCACCTCACTGAACTGGACGGAGGCACAGAGCCACTGCAGACATGCCTACACTGACCTGGCCACCATAGAAAGCACAGCTGAC